TTAGTGACGATGTACATTAAGGTTTCGCTGGGATGGGCGACGATTTGTGAAGCGCTTGTGACATTACCAAGGAAATTAATACCCACCACGTCCTGCAAATTCGGGTCTTCGGACATACGGAAGTTCGTAATTGACGTCAAGAGACTTCCGGAAGAGTGTGAGTCCAATGCGTGCAAGTTACGCCCATTGGGAGCCCATGCAATAGAGTGTACGTCTCCGGCGATCTCTTGGGAGTTAATAGTATCATAACCGTCTGGCGACACTCCAAAGACGATACTGCAAGTTCCTGTGCTAGCACTGCCCCATATAGCAGTGTTGTGCACGGAAGATCCTAGCTTTAGGGACAGGAAGTTCGTAGTATTGCCTAAATTCGTCAGAAGGAGCATGCGGATGCCATAATGAAAACCAACATGATGAGGGTATCTCCATAGTGCCTTCGCTGATGAGTTCGTATGTAGGCGCAATCGAGTGGCGGGTCAGGGTTCCATCCTGCGGACGACTGCTGAACAGGTGCTGCTTCGAGCGCTACCGAATATGTCAACGGGAATGATCTTTACTGAGGATTAATTCACGTACGTCGAGCGCCAAAGACGGCGATGCTCCACCTGCGTCTCTTGCCGTAATCGTATACACTCTCCTGGATTCATCGTCCGTCTCCAGCGAGTACAACGCCTGCCCATTCGTAGTGCCAACTGCGAGATGGTGCAGTAGCGCGTTCATAGACGGTACAAATAGTACGATTGCAAGGAGAGTTAACATGGCGCCGTATGATGAGTTGCGAGCCAGACCAATGTGAGTGTAAGGATATGGTTCTATCGTCTCGCAGTTTATCAGCATGTGAGCCAGCCCCTGCATGACACATTTCCGTGAAAGCGCATTGTGGGGTGCAGCTGGTGAGAGGGCTTCCAATATCGAGGGCGAATCTCTGGTGATTAACCATGCCGGTAGTTGCCTCGATTCAATATTGCCCAAAATCAGTGGCGCCTGCTGATCACGCGCGAAGGCATCTGATAGTTATTGATGCTTGACACATGATCATGGGTATGGTGACATGGCTGACTCTCTGGAAATTGCTCCTGTCGACCAGACGCGTCTCGCGGACGCCCGGAAGTAGGGATGGATATTGAGGATGAGTCACTGTCTGATAAGTCGGAGATCTTCATTACCGGTATTGCGCCCTGATCGCAGAGGATTCGTGCGCGACGACGATGAAATACGTGGTCAGGAGGATGGTATATTGATGCTGAGATGAGGGTCATAGAAGGAGGCTGGGACGCGTGCATCGGGGCTGTCCTGTTAGGCGCTAGTGAGAGCTTACGTCATAGCCGCGAGAAGCACCTTCCCCTTTCCGTCCCTCTCGCAACAAGCTTTCGAAAATTAGAACCAGCCACTGCGCGTTGAGTATCAAACAACATTTTGAGGATTGACAGCGTCCTTTATATTTGATTGAGCAATCGTGTAAGATGTACCTTGCATGCACCTGCTAATGGTAAAGAGACAATACATCGCGCACGTCCACTTGCAGTGCATGCTAAACTGCATGGTTAACGAAAGCCTGAACATCTTCTATATCATGCGAAAGCCCAGACTCAAGATCGTCGCGATAGAAACTTGGAAGAAGCTCATCTACCTCCTCCAATGTCAGCCGCCGATAGGATAGCTTCCGCCAAGGCCAACCTAAGAACCCACACAAAACTCGTCCGCATTTCGCCAGTCTCCATTCAACAGACTCGTACTTTTCGTCGATGTACATTTGACAGCGACCGATCACCCTGGCCGGCATCTCATCCTCGTCCCACAACAAATCCCAACGGCAATTCAGCACAACAGCTCGAAATGAAAGACGTGTCCTGAATTTTACCCCGTGATCGTGACGAAACGACTCAAGTCCAGGAGTGCGCGCAGATAACGGCGTATACTTCCATCCTGCCGGGCCTGCAGCGAGCGGCGAACAGTTCGTGTAGCTTACATGCAGTGGAGTCGGAATATGCGGACGCTGAAGGACCGGTTTGCTACGAGGATTGGTCTTCGGGTGATAAGAGAAGTAGTCCTCTTGCGCTGTGGGTTGGAGTGTCGCATATGTTTCGGTCCGTGTAACCACGCGTGTGTTTGCTCGACCGTTCATCGTCCTTTATCCCCGTTCTTGGAACATGTATTCACGCCGTCTGAGAATGGTGAATAGGCGGGTGAACGCTGGGATATAGTACTGATACCACATTGTGCGGGTAGAACATGCGCGCTTTGTCTGGCACATGATGTCTGATTCTGAGGTCTCACATGCGCCTTTCACGCACACTGCCGAAGTGACTGGGTGTTTAACAGCCTGTACATCGTTGAGGATACTTCGGTATCGTTCAGGGTGTCGTTTTGATACCAAATCGTCAACTCTTCTTAGTGGACGCCGCCTATCCTGCCAACATAGACCCATTCACCATCTCCTTGTACACGCCATGGGCTTGCGAAAATTTGACTCTTTTCCTCGGTGTCGTTTTCGGCGACGTCCAGGTACCACTGTTTCCACGTTGAATCCCAGGTCCAGTCTTCCCACGCACCTAGCATTTCTACCGCGACATCCGGCATCAGATTTACACCAGCCATGCTCACATGCTCCCAAACGTTCCTGATCTCATTCAACTTCCAGCGCGAAAGATAAAGGTATGTTTGCTGAGAGGGTATGTATGTGTAGAACTCATGCCAGGCAGGATCCCAAGTCCAAGAATACGCTGACAAGGTCTGCTGTGGGGTAGTCTGTTCACCGGGGCTTGTAGAGGTGATCAATTGGTCGAGCAGCGTGATCGCGTTTGAGAGGTCGATGATGTCGAGGATAGTTGGTAGTGATATATTGAGTAATTGATCTGATGAATGCCAGTCTCCTCGTGATCGCAATCGTTGTTCCAACACCCGTAGTTGCATTTCCAGAGCTTCCAGGTGAGTCTTGATCTCTTTGTCAGGCGAGGTTATGATAAGCATATTTCCCGTGACGTTCTCATCATCAGCGGAAGAGAAGGGTCTTAAAACGAACCCCTCACGCCCTGCTCTGGTGTCTGCGATAAATTTCCTTGTCGTTTGCTGAAGTGTGACAACGGCCTCTGTGAGATCTAGCGCTCGATCTCCATTGATTGCTGAGGATGCCATGCTCAATCTTGTTGTGCTTTGGTCGAAATACTCTAGTGCAGTGAGAACCGCTGGATAAGTAACGATGCTTAAACAAGCATTGCGCACCTTGTCACAGGTGATGTTGTCAAGCAACAGATCGCCGATACAGCCGAAATTTAGCCCTCATCGCCACCGTGGAATATTGCATACCCATAACAAGATGCGAGAACCTTCATGGACGCGGGCAGCCATCTTTGCGTATATCTAATGCTGAGCGATTCGAGTTCGCAGTATGAAGTGCAGGAAATAACCTGAAAGCTGAAATTTGGCGCCGCTTTGATCGATGACCTCGGGAGGTTGGGAAAGGGCGATGACGTCATTGCTGTCAAGCTCCACGACTTCCTTGTGCTTCGCTAGCCTCATGCGCATTGCGTACAAAATCGAATAACAACCAAATCATGAGGGAAGACACAGATCATCATCTCTACAGATACCGAAAGTTCGAAAGCCGGGTACACCACAATGGGGCTGGTTTATTCATAGGTACTAGTCGTCCACAGAGACGCAACTCGTGAGACTTCGATAGAAGCAAACTGGGAACTCGATATTGTTTGTGACCCATTGACGTAGAAATGCGGCTTTCGATCATCAAACAAATAAGCCACCCCAGAGAACACTCCCGTGAGTGTGTACAGTATCATTCCATCTTCCGCCACCCCAGAGAACACTCCCGTGAGTGTGTACAGTATCATTCCATCTTCCACCACCCTCCCCGAACATTCACCCAAACCCCACATAGTACTTTCTCAACGAGACTCGAGTCATGCCACAACAGCAATATACACACATAACACGTCCCATGCCCGCCCATAGACATGTCTCTCAATTTGAACCGCACATCCCAGACAAAACTAACAACAGAACCAAACGCCTTCATCACCACAACCAATCTCCCAACTACAAAAGGATTACCTAAGAATGGCGTCTCCACTTTCCTACACCTTCACCCCACCAGCATACTACCCCACATCCACATCATCCCCAACATACCACCCCGCACTCCACTACCGGCCGTCCATACCTCCAGACTACCTCCCAAATGACGAATACCGCTACCTAGTCAAGCAACAACATCGCTATCGCCTAGAAGCGCATTTCGCGCAACCCTCTCTCTCCTCGACCCGAAACATGATACCAAAGACGGCGTATCAAAAGCAAGGTAACTTGAGCCGTGAGCGCCGGGCGGAGATATCTGCCGCGAAGTTTGCTACGCGTGCGGCTCTAGGTGCGGGCTTTGATTTCACTGATGAAGGGTTTGATAGGATGCGGGCACTTGATAATCCACAGGAGTCTTGGACCAGGCTGGGCGAAGATGAGGATTCAGATGAAGAAGCCATTCCAGCGAGGTATATCGCCGAGTTCAATGAGGAGATGCGGAAGTTTGAAAGGATGTATGATGAAGATCAGCATCCTTCTGACATCCACACATCGCGACATAAGCATCCAGGTACGTATACTGATACTAAACCCCTGCCACCTTACAAGCCTTCGCTACCGCCTCTTGAGCGACGTGACAGCGGTTTCGAGGAAAAGACTGTATGTGAGCCGAAACCACAACTTCAAAGTAAGTTCAGCTGGGACAATCTTGACGATGCCGATGACAAGTCCCCGAAGCGAAGGAGTTTCTGGTCTCGCCATCGCCGGAGCAAGAGCGTAGAAGCTACCCAAGTGCCTGAAAAGAAGAAAAAACGTAGAACATGGTAGGTCAGCAATGAAAAAAATGTAAAAGTAAACACGGTGAGAATGCAGTGTGATGTGTGTAGTCACGAATATGTACATTGACTTGTTGGTGACTGCCATGAGGCTTGGCTGTAGTGTATGGTAGCTCTTCATTTTCGATGCGTCTAAGCAAAGCCGAAGAACTTCATGTCGTCGGCACCCCGAATGGGAACGGTGTGGCCGACACCAGCAGCGTAGATACCCTCGACGTTGGGACCGTAGACGGTCCTGGTGTATCCGCTCTGGGGGTCGTTGGCCTTGGTGCTCTGGGGCTTGTCGTAGTTGTAGCCGAAAACGCCAGCCTATACACCGTTAGCACGTGATCACTCGAGAACTTAGATCGTGAGACTTACCCATTCCTTCATGGTCTCCTGGTAGTTCTGGGGGCGCAGAGTGGTGTCGGCGCTGCCGTGGTAGACCTGCATCTTGGGGCGGGCACCAGTGTAGCTGGGGTACATGTTCTTGACCACGGTGGCCCAGGCTTGGGGAGTGGCGATGGAGTTACCCTGGGCGCAGGTGCTGTTCCAGGCGTCGACTCCGTTGGCGGCGGAGGCGAAGCAACCGGCAGCGACACCGGAGTAGGGGATGGCGGCCTTGAAGATGTCAGGGTAGGTAGCGGCCATGACGTTCTGAAGGGGGTTAGCAATTATGACATGATCAGGACTCCATCAAACGTACGGTCATCATGGCGCCACTGCTGGAACCGGTAACGAAGACCTTGGACGAGTCGGCCTTGTACTGCTTGACTGTCCACTTGACCATGTTGGCAATGGTGTTGCTGTCTCCTCCTCCCTCGTGGCTCAGAGTGGCCTTGCTGCTGACATCCCAGCACTTGCCCTCGTGAGGGGACTCTGGGTAGATGACAATGAAGCCATACTGCTCAGACAACTTGGCGTAAGGGCTACCGGTGTAGTATGCCTGTGCGGTACCAGTGCAGTAGTGGATAGCGACAATAACTCCTGGCGACGCCGCAAGCTTCTTAGGCACGTAGATGTAGAAGCCAGCCTTGGTGGGCGCAGCACCAAAGGAGGTGACCTGGGAGAGAGCGCCAGGTGTCACGGCACGCTTGGCGATGTCAGTGGTTGCAGCCGCAGCTACGGATAGGAAGCTGGTGACAGCAGTGAGGAAGCGCATGGTGTTGACTTGGAATGAATGAACGCGGTGGGGAATCCAAGAGTCTTGGGATACAGACCTTCTTATAAAGCTTGTCTTCAGCCGGAGCGTGCGTGCGGTTCAAGGGATGCGGTCTGCATTGAAACGATCTCCCCGAAACTATCCAGCAATCAGCAGTAGCGGAGATGAGGTCACGCAGTTCTCGACTAAAGTGTTTCTCCCCACATCTTCGGCGCCACAACGTAGATGAAGGGCTGACAGTTGTCATTCGCCCTCTAGTGGGACTTGGAACGAACTAGTGAGCGGTAAATTAAAAGCTTGTTTCCATTAATCCTAGCTCGGCATTGGTTCCAGGCGCGACGTTTCGAACATATACCGACCCTTGACCTTTACCATGTGTTTACCCGGTCCGGGGAAATTTACAACAGTAACCCCACAGGACAGGCAAGCAGGCGCGCTATATGTATAGAGGTCGCATGCGACATGGAAGAATTGTTTGCGAGTCCGCCGAGCCTGTGCGGACAGTATGAGGGGGGTTGAGTAGTGCCGAGGAGTCTGACACGATACTGACTGTGGGTGCCATGCTGATGCGCCGGGTCCAGATCTAGACGTTGAGGCGGCCGGTGCGCTTGGTGAGCTCTGGTTTCGCCGTTGGGTCGTTGCTCTTGAACTATCGAGGCTGTGTATGTAAGCGGTTGGGCTGTTCGGGGCGCCCAACGCTTCGAGCGCGACGCTTCTGGCTTCGCGGATCTTGACCTCGAACTCTCTTCTTCATCTTCCAGCCCACATGCCATCGCCCCTTCCTAGACCGCCGAAGGTCAGTCCGCCCATAACACCGCCGCCGCCACCGCCGCCAATGTTCTTGCCTTCGTTGACAGGTCTCTTGGCGACTCTTCCCTGTGCCTTGACGCCTTGAATGACTTTGTCCAACTGCGTCTCTACCACGACTCCGCCCACTATCATCTCACCCAGTGTCGCATGTAATGTCTCGAAGTTGAAGATCAGATCCAGCTCGCAAACGTTTTCGAAAAGACCATCGAGCGCTTGGACGAAGACCTGGATGAGATCGAGAAGCGCGAGAGGTGATTCGGTGGATGTAGATATGACGATGAAGTAGAGGGTCGCGTAGTGGCGGTAGGTGACGAGGGAAGGTGTGTCGTTGTGGGGAGTCGTGGGCGTGCTGGATTTGGAGCTGCTGGCAAGGAGCGGTGGAAGGCTAGACGTGCATTAGGAACAGCATGGAGTGAGACTATGACAAGACATACGGTAGGAAGTTACATGCTGAGTTTGGGCGGTTGGCGACGAGGGTGAAGATCTCGGAGATGAGGCGCTGCTGGACGCTGGTTTCCTGGACGGTGGTGAGTGCGGGAGCCCTGGAGCGCAATGTCAGGTCACGTGTAATGTACCAGCTGTGTGTAGAACTTGGTCAGTCGCGGCTGGCCGGCATTGTTGAAGACGAGGACGGCGTTGATCATGGTGTGGATAGGTGGTGGTGAGGCGCACACTGGCGTTGGACATGTCCCACCGAAGGATGCGGGGAGGCGCGCGAGGGTCCATGCTCCTCCAGCTTGCGTCCAGCCCAGGAACAGAAGACTCTCCCGCTGCTCCGCAACTTCCACCACCAACAATCCTCTCAAGTGCACCAACCCATCCAATCCAGTCACAATGAAGCCAGCTACTCGATTCGTCAGCACCGCCGTTCGTCGCGCCGCCCGATCTTCCCTCCGCGTCCAGTCGCCCGCCAATTGCATCATCGCCAGCCGAGCTCCTGCCATCAGCCATGCTACCCCCGTTCGCAGCTTCCACGTGTCAATGGGCATGAGGGTGGGTATTATGCCTGGTGAGGAGGACCCGAAGCCCAAGGAGAGTGAAGCCCACGACGAACCTGGCAAACCCACGGAGCTCTCAATAGAAGAATTCCACGAGCGCGCAGACTACTACCTGGGCGAGCTGGTACAGAGGTTAGAGGAGGCTCAGGAGAATGACCCAGCCATCGAAGTAGACTACTCCGTAAGTCACGATTACGCAGCAGAACTCAGATTGGATACTAATTCGGTTGCAGGCTGGCGTGCTCGAAGTCACTTTCCAAGAGAACACATTCGTACTGAACAAACAACCCCCGAACAAGCAGATCTGGCTCAGTTCCCCAATCTCCGGACCGAAGCGATTCGACTGGGTCGTCGCACAAGAGGGCATGGACTTCAAGGAGGGCGGTGGCATCGGCGACTGGGTATACATGAGGGACGGCAGCTCGCTCACTGAGATTCTCAGGAAAGAGCTGGGCGTTGACGTCAGTGTAGATGACCAGGTCCCGCGTTAATGGAGTGGGCTATGGTCTGTAGCACATGCTCTAGTACGTCGTCCCGTCGCAGAGCACATTTGGACAGATAGTCTCTTCTGGCCAGGAGAGTATACACGATGATACGGTAGCAAACAGCGAAAAGCGACAACAATTTATGATTGCGCATTCCCAACTCTGCTTCCCCAAACATCCCATGTGGTATATCTCTGGTCTTTGCCAGACTGCGACCACGTTGTATAGCCAACTTCCCCCAAACGCCGATATATGCATTTTAACGCCGTAGATACTGGGAGACATGGTATGGAACCTCGTAAGGTGGTATGAAATGATAGTCGAGGAACCTAGGCGGTAATCGCGACGCTCTTGGGTGCATCGTCGTTCTCTGGTGGGAGATCGGACTGCAACATGTCAGTGCTCAAGTCTCGCCATGTACTGAGTAGAGGACATACCGGGTCGAAGATAATGCGTATCATCAGACTACAACTGGGACAACGCGCTATGTCCTCTCCGTCGCGCATGTCGTAGATGGAGATCTCAAAACGGTCGCCGCATGGGCACGGGTGGTGGTAGATTTGCAGCGTCTCGTCATAGAAGCAGTCTTCGATTTCGATCTCGTCGTAGAGGTTGAGTTCTTCGTCGGCCATGTTGGGTAGGTGTGCGCGTGGAAAGAGCGATTGAGTTTGTCGGCGACAGCGCGAGGAAGTGGCGGGGTGGGAACCTTTGGCCGGCACGCTAGCCATGGACCTGCATTGATCCGCCCGTCCATTCACATCACCAGAAGCTCCGAACACGTACCGTAACGTCGAGGCCGCCCGCCTACCCCGTCCGCGACTTCCATCTGCACCCTACCATGGGCGCGCACCTGATACACGAAAAAAACTGAACAGGTTTGCAGACTACATCAAGACAAAAACCTTCAAAGTGGGTGATCTAACGTCAACGTAGGCTCTAGGGTGTTCAGCACGTCTAGAACCATGGGCGACGTCGAGTCCGCCACGGTGAAGCTCGCAGAGCTGCTGCGACACCCAGAGGACCTCGACAAGATACCGGCGCTGAAAGCCGAGTTTATGCGCAAGAAGGCTGCTGTAGGGTAAAGTAGCCGCCACGAACAGCTTTCAAGATATCTTGCTAACTTATTACTAGTATGTAGCTCCCTTGCTATGCTTTGCCAGCGCGGTTCTAAGACATCTTATTATTCGTGCTAACAGCTTGATAGATGGCCAACTCCGACATGGGCTGAAAGAGCAGCTCGAGTTGACCCAGTCGGGCATGAGCAGCATCACCGAGGGCCAGCGCACCGTCAACCTGATCAAAGAGGAGATGATGAAGATAGACAAGCTATGCGCCGAGGCCCAGAATATGATTCAGGACTTCCCGCACATCAACCTGGTTGCGCAAACACACAAGAACTTTGAATCGGTGGAGAAGATGCGCAATGACATCGAGGCCTTTGAGGAGCGCCTGGAGAACCTCGAGATCCTGCTGGCACAGGACGACGAAGACCCCGCGAACCAGCCGAACCTGCTACAAGTACACTACGGTCTGACCCAACTACGAGACATCCGCGACGAAGCCATGGGCCAGATCAAGAACAGCGACTCTTCCACCGAACTCATCGATAACCTCACACTAGAGAGTGGTATCACGGTGCAGGACCTCTTCGCGCGCTTGGACGATGTCGTAGAGTGGTTTGACAGGCATATCGGCGAGGCGTGCATAAACCTCATACAGTTGGTGCAGACCGACAACGTAGGCATGGTGGTCCGCTTGGCCGTCGTGATTGAGGAAGAAGAGAAGACGGACAAGAAGATCAAAGCGCTGCAAGATGCGCAGAGAGAGTTCGGAGATCTCGCTTCTCGCTTCAAGTCCATCACACAAGGGCCCAAGGAGCTTCGCGGCTACAAGGAGAAGTTCATTACCTCCATCGAATATGTTTGCAAGGCAGAGATGGACGGAGTGAGAGAACAATTCCAAGAAGACCCCGAGAAGGTCGAAAAGTACTTCAAGTGGTATTTCAACAACCTGAACACAGTCAAGCTGGGTATGGTCGAGCTCATGCCGAAGAAGTGGAAGATCTTTGACACATACACCAATATCTACCACAAGCAGATGCACGACTTCCTCATGGAGTTTGCCGATGACGAAGCTCTTGGGCCGCAATACCTGCTGGCTGTCATCAACTGGGTGGACAAGTACTACATCAAGATGCAGAAGCTTGGGTACTCGGAAGAGCAACTACAGCCACATGTCATCGACAACCGCAGTCCCGAGCTGATACGTACCTACCGCTCCGTTATCATCCAGGCTGTGGATCAATACATGGAACGCATCAATACACAGGATAGGCAGAGGTTCGTGCAGCAAGACAAAACTGCATATGAGACCAACTTTGACGGTATCCTCCAAACGAAGGCTCTTGGAGACGTCTGGACGCTTTTCAGCCAGAACATCGGTGTCGCTGCCAGTAGTCAGCGTCCCGACGTTGCTGATGGTGTAGTCGACTCCATGTTCCGTGCCCTATTGTCTCGCCAGCGTATATGGACGCAACTGATCGACGAAGAAAAGGCCAAATACCTCGGACCTACTCCCGCGCAAGATGAAGATGATATATATGTCTTGCAGGAGTGGCTCATCGCTCTTGCAAACGACCAGATCATCTGCATTGACGATGACATTGACGGCAGTGGTCAAGCCTCCTTCCTAAGCGTCTTTGAGCGTG